ATTACACAAGAGTGATATTCACCTAGTGCACACATCCTAGCTCAAATAGTGGATCTCTCAATTATATATAATAATGTTAGTAGATGAAATTTTTATAGTATTACTTTATTTTATTTTTAGTTTAAAATTGATATGATTTCTTCAAATATGGTAGATTAAGTATCTTCAAGGCCATTATTGGTCTATTACAATATTTTGGATTTAGCATTATATATTTTTAGTTTGATAGTTTTTTCCTCATTCGTTACAGTAAATATATGTAAATTCCATCGGTTGGAGATATTCATATTCATTGAGACTCAGTAAATTTAAAAATTCAAGTGATTTGTAAATCTAAGAAAATTGACGTAATAGACTAACATAATTGATTTTTTCTCTCGAGCCAACTATTACCTACACCAAAAAATTAAAAATTTGTACACATGAACAGCTCGATCAGTTGATCATAGGGGTAAAGTTTGAAAAGAAAAATTAAAAATCTCTCCCTAAATATATAATAACTACCTAGCTAGAGCCTCCACTTCATCCCCTCTTCTCTGTCTCCGTCGCAATTAATGAAAATTCCATTAATAACTTACAAAGAAACCTAATTGTGTATATGTATTAGTACATTTAATATAGTGGTCGGAACCCTTTGACTTAGCATAACCAAAGTGACTCACAAATTTTCATTTTTAGCATTTTCATGTAAAAATTGTATATATGTATATACAACAACACTTATGAATGCCTAAAGGGCAATGCTGAACTCTTAAACTAATTAACACAAACCCTATATATCTTTAAAATTATGTTTGCATAAAAAGGAGTGCCTAAAATAAGTGAAGCATAATTCTTGTACGATCGTATTACCTTGTGGTCAAGTGGCATGAAGTGATTTTTTTAAATTGGAAGTCATGAGTTTAAGCCCCAGTAAAAACAATAGATATTGAACTAAAAAAAATAAAAATAAATACTTTCTTAGTCGATAATGTCATACAAAATGATTAGTGTCAATTAAGGAAAATATTATATATTTATATGTACTTCCTTTACTCCTAATTTTACTTTCACACTTAAAATTTTTATGTAGACAAGCCCACGTGATGAAAATAACGCGCCCGCTACATCAGTGAGTAAATTTGAGAGAGTAAGATTTTTTCTTTTGGTCAAACCACGAAGTGTTCTGAGCAGACCGTATTTGTAAGAGACACCTTTAAGCTCGTACCATACTCAGACTAATCCCCGTTCGCACCGGTCTGACGCAATTAAGGGGCAAAGTTCTGGTCAGATTTTTTCATACGAAAGAAGGTTCGAAGTCCCACTTGTCTTAAGGACATCCTCAATAGTGAGGATTTTGGTGTAATTTTTGAGGAGTTTTTGGAGATGTGATTAAAAAAAAAAAACAAAACAAAACAAAACAAAAAAAACTAACAAAACCCTCAACCCCCCCCCCCCCCCCAACCCCTGCAATCCCGACAAAACCCACAAATTAGCCGGACCAATCCACCCCTCTCTCTCCTCTCTCCTCCACATATCTATTTTTTCTTAATTCTTGTGCAAAATCCTCTTGTTGGGGATGCTCTAAAGGATAAAAAAGCATGACCACTCACATTAATCAAATTAATTTGAAAGAGTAAGATTTTGAAGTACATGTAGTATAACTTGCGAATAAATTCGTGCATTAAAGAAATTTCGTAGGGTGAGACCGAAAACATAAGCACAAAAATAGGGGTAAAAGTGGAACCCAGCTAGAAACAGGCAGAGAATAGCTAGGGAAGGGAAGTGGATAGGTGTAGAGTTTGGCCCGTCATTGGTGGCACGACATATCAGTGCCGCCTTGTCTTTACTCCCGCGTTTGGCGCTGATATGTAAAATTCCTCTTCTCAAATAGGGCCAAAATGGGTACGGGTTTCGGTGCTTTGTCGTCTAGTCTCCTCCCAACATCTATATATCTATCTTAGGATAGGATACATTTGGGGACTTATATTTATTAGCTTCACCATATGACATATCATCATCGACCACAACCAAATTCGTGTCACAACTACATATAGGGATGACAATTATATCCGTACTTAATAGATTTCTCACATTTCTGTTTCTACGAATTTTAAAATACTCGCACAATTTGAGTAATGGGTACAGGTATGAGACGAATTTTATATACTCGCGCGGGACGGGGCGGGTGCGGGAGGTATCCCCGCTCCGCACCCACACTAATATATATTGTTATTAGTATTTATTTATTACATAAGTTTATGTATATTTTATAATTAAAAATGCATAATGAATTAAACTTTTTAGGCTTTCAAAAAAAAAAAAGAATTAAACTTTTTAGTTATTTGTTTATGAAATTCGAATAGGAACAATACAAATAACATAATGAGTAAACACTTAATACAATTTATACTACCAACACAATTTTAGTTCCAATTAAGGACTCACTTCTTTGGCTCATATTAAATTTTATAGTTATGTCACTGCTAGAAATTATAGAATTTCCGACCACCTGAAAGTGATCTTAAATAAGTCGAAAGCAAAAAGTGGTCAGAAATAGCAGCAAAGGTTTTTCCGGATACCAAAAGTGGTTGGAACAAGGCTTTCGACTTGATTTAAGATCACTTTCAGGTGATCGGAAATTTCATAATTTCCAGCAGTGTGTTCAAACTTATAAAAAAAATCCATGTGATACTTAGAATTGTTGTATAAATTTTTTATTAGATTTAAATATAATATTAATAATTAAAGTTACGGGTTGGGTATTCTATTGTTTAGTTCGCGGAAGGAATAGACTTTAGGAATTATATTACAGTGTTTGGTTGATTTAAGGAATAGAAATGAAATATGTTTTAAAAGACATAAATACCCTTATAAAAATATGTGATGGTGGCGATGGTGGTGGTGGCGGTGGCGGTGGTGGTGGCGATGGTGGTGGCGGTGGTGGTGCTGGGGTGGTAGTGGTGGTGGTGGCGGTGGCAATGGTGGGGGCGACGGTGGTGGTGGTGGTGGCGGCAGCGACGGTGATGGTGGTGGTGGCGACGACGGTGGTGAAATAGGATAAATTTATATATAGGATAAAAAAATTATGTTAAAGAAAGGGGTAAAAAAGGAAATAGATTCTAAAATCTATTCCTGAACGTTCAGTAATAGACTAATACCAGGGGGTCCTAGTAATAACTATTACCTTATTTGAGGTAATAGGCTATTACTAAGAATATTATTCCTGGTAATAGAAATGGTTACCAAACAAATGAATAAGCCTATTACTGGGAATGCTATGCCATTCCCGGCCTATTCCGTGAACCAAACGGGCCATTAAGGATTCTATGTTGTATTTCAACATTAGTATGACAACATGAGTTGAGGAGAGAGGCAGTTTTTTTTTTTTTTTTTTTTTTTTTCTTTTGAATGTTATTGACTCTATCACAATATAGTATTTGTTCATAACTACAGAGGCAGCTTAGTATTTTTATTTTTAAATACTCATAATTATTTACATGCATGGTAGTATATACATCGGAGTTCAATCTTGTAACCACTCTTTTGCAATGGTAACTGAGATGTCATCACACTACATAAGAGTTGGCAGCTTAGTATTTATTTATTAGAACACATTAACATTAATTTTTAAGACAATTTAGTATATTTTCTTCAAAAATAAGACAATTTAGTATTTTACAATTGTTAAAAAAATTAAAATGCTCATAAATAAATGATATAATAAATAAACAATAATGTGATATACTTTTTTAATGGATTTTTTTTCTATATTATACCTTTATTATGTCATTTATGAGGATTTGTTTAGGTAGGAATAAAATATTAAACTTGTGAAATTATCATTCTAAAAATTAAAGTCAATTTGTTTTAAAATTTTGTAATAAATAACCAAAAATGTGGCAATATTAGTAAAATATAGGGCCTAAATGTGGTCAAATTAAAAGTTGTGAACTGAATGTGACATAATAGTCGTAGGCTAAAAGTGGAAATTTCTTTAAATAAAATAATAATTTTACTTTCAATTTATAAAAATGTTTTTTTTTTTTTTTTAACATTGAGAAAATTGTATATTTGGCCTTGAGTTATATCATATGTATAGATTCAGTTACTCAATTATTGTCATGTTTAATATATTTTGATTTCTCGACCAATTACTCTCAAAGTGGTGATTTTGATTATTTTTGTTAACAATTTGTTACATTTGGAAGAAAAATCGATAGAGAAGCTTTTTTTGAAAGCCAAGGAAATTAGATTGCATTAAACTGTAAGCGAAACAAAGGGAGGAAGATAGTCCTTCCAGACAGAATGAGAGTCAGTCGCACTACTATGCTTTGCTAAGGCATGAGCTACCATATTGGCATCTCTGCGTACAAATCGATAGAGAAGCTTAACTGATAGGGATAAACATAAAAATTAGATTCTATTTTTTCCTTCTTATATTTGATAAACGTTCACATTGTTCCAATAAATTTATTTGTTCTAGCACTTTGTCCCTTAATTGGACTAATTCGGTGCGAATGGAAATTAATCTGAGTATAATACGAATTTAAAGGTGTCTCCTATAATTAGAGCCTGCTCAGGACATTTCATGGCCTGACCAAAGAAATGCAGAATTTTTTATAAAAATTTTACAAATAAAATATATTAAACACAAGAAATATCCATCTATATAATGAGAAAGGAAAATCAAATTTTCATATTTATCATTATCATAATATATTAATGAAATAGACTAAAATTATCTTATCAACAATAACTAAGGTATGAAAAAAGTAAACATAATTTCTTCAAAAAAAAAAAAAAAAAGTAAACATAATAATAAATGAGTAGTTGAGTCTATATCAATATTTAATTTAAAGACCAAATACCTATTTTTTAAAAAAATTACTCCGTATAATAATAGGCCAGGACATGTCTTTTCAATAAAAAGATTTTTATTTTTATTTTATAGTGGTGATTAAGTTATAAAATTGTGATGTATACTTATTCAATGTGAAAAAACATGGCCTCCAAGAAAAGACAAAAAAAGAGGAGACTACTCAGCCTCAGAAGTAGAAAATGAAGCAACATGACAAATAGTAGCAGAAATGCATTCCATATAAGGGACTGAATCACCCCTTTTCTCATACTACTTCTCTCTTCTTCTTCTTCTTCTTCAACACAATTTCATAACTGGAAATGGATGTTCAACCCACTGCTCTTCTCAACTGGGCATTTCTCTGCCAAGGAAAGGTTAGCAGCTCTATCTTCTTCTTCTTCCAGTGCCTGGAGTTTTGTTTTTTACCCATTCAACTTAAAACTGAATTGCCCTCTGTAATTTGAGCTAGGTTGTTTAATGGGTACACATTTTCTTGAAATGTTTTGAAGAAATTAAATTAAAGTTTGTGACTTTGTTGTTGAAACAGAGCATGGATGAGCTGCGGCAATGGCTGTTAATGACGACTTTGGAGCTGGAGAAAACAAGGGTGAAAGCTCAAGAGGAGCTGGAAATGAGAGAGAATCATATTCTTCAGCTCAAAGATATGCTGAGCAGAGCGATTAAGGAGAAGAATGATGCAGAGGAGAAGTGTCATAGGTTACTGTTTGAGAGGCTTCTGTTGCAGCAGCCGCCGCCGCCGCCTCCGGCGGCGGCGGCGGCGGCTCCAATGTCTGGGGTTTCATGCGTTGAGGATGAACCCAGAAGGGGAGTAGTGGAGAATCACTCCAATAATGGCTTCTCCTCCTCCGATTCCGACGAGAGCATCGTTTCCTCGCCGGCGCCGGCGCCCCAAGATTTGCCGATTGTGATAGATAAGCCCTTGCCGGAAAAGGGGAAGTTTTTGCAGGCGGTGATGAAAGCAGGGCCGCTTCTTCAGACCCTTTTGCTGGCTGGCCCTCTCCCCCAGTGGCGCCACCCTCCTCCGCCCATGGACACTTACCAGATTCCGGCGCCGCCCGTCGCCATTCCATCTCCGCCGCCGCCGCCGACTAACTCTCTCCCTCCTCAAGATTCTCTTCTGAGCATCTCTGCTTACAACAGCATCTCCAACTGTGGCAGGATAAACAGGAAAAGAGGTTTCTTTGATGATTCTGATTCTTCCATGGAAGCCAAGTACCAAAGAGTTGTCCTTTGACTCTCACTTTTCCCAATATAATCTTGTCAGAGTAGTCCTATCCTATCCTATCCTTTTCCCAGTATCTGCCATGGAGTCATCTGATCTAGCAGCATTTTGTACAGAATCTTGAGAGCCTGATTCTAGGAAGCCCTCCCAAAAAAAACCCTAATTTTACTAGTGGGCATTTTCTTTTGGTTTTTGCCAATATTTCTAGTGGTATTATTGATTGTGGGCTTGTCTCTTTTCTTCTCATCTTGTTTACTAAAACCTTAAGTTAGTGTTTGATTTCGCTTTCTTTCATGATATGTCTGCAATTCTGCAAATGAAGTGTTCTAACATTAACTACTGTACTGTGTTTAGTCTTTTGTAGTACTCAACCAAACATCATTTGTTACTTAAAAATAAAAAAGAAAAAGAAAAAACAGAGGAAATGTATTGTGTATATTTGGACGTTTGTTAAAATGGAAGATGAAAAAAGAGACAAAAGGGTTAGAGAGGTTTCCTTTTCTGGATGGGTTCCACAAATCAGAATGAGGATCTACACTAACGTGAGGATTAATGGTTGTGTTTTAGGTGGATTTGATGTTTACTGTTTTTTGTTACACTTAATTTAAAACAAATGTCTTGTCTTGTATAGTTGTATAACGGATTAATTCATTTTAATTTCAATTATAAAAGATTTAAAAAATTTTGGCTCTAAAACCTCACATCTCCATCATACAGGAATTGTGAAAGAATTGGATATCATCACTATATCAGTCATTTATTTTAATTTCTTGTTGAATTTTTTTTTTTTTAAACAATAGTTGGGTTTGCAAAAAAAAAGTATTTCTATAGTTGCCGAAATGCACTGTTTACAACTTTCTTGTAGCTTGTCAAATCGTTGTTACCCCCTCTCTCTCTCTTTTCTCTTTTCTTTTCTTTATTATTATTATTATTTTTTAAAGCTTATTATTATTAATTTATTATTATTATTATTCATTTCACTTTTGCATGACGAAAATGATTTCTCCTCAAAAAGCAAAGCAATCATGGATAAAGGGTTAATTTGGGGCTAAAGCCACCGTTTGCCGCCATCATTATTGAGTGCTTGTATATATAGTTAATTTTATTTTTTATCATAAATTTATAAGTGATAATTTACTTTTAGTCCTTTTTTTTCATAATATTTTCATTGGTCATAATATTATTGTGGTATGATCGTTTTTTTTTTTTTTTTGTCATTTGTTAATAAAATTGTTAAAAAGTCATTAAACACATAGACATTTTGATCTTTTTATACAAAATAAGTTAACGCTATGTGATTCATTAAGTTGAGAAAGTAGTTATGAACAGATACTGCATTGTAACAGAGTCAAACAGTATTCAAAAAAATGAAAGGTCGACTGAAAAAAAAAAGTTACAAATATATTATCGAGTATAAGTTTTTCCACGTTTAAATTATAATTTTACATGAGGGTTTTAAAGTACAAGAATCAATAGTAAAACCTAAGTAGTTATAATAATCGATAACTTAACGATTAATACAATTATAAATACAAAAATTTGTTGAATTCAGATTCATCATCTCCTTATTATAATGAACAAACATGCCCAAAATCAAACTTAATTCATTACTACAATAGTTACTGGTCAATATTTTGAATTTCTTAACTTCCTACTTACAACTATAAATTAGTAACTCCTAGCTAGGATTTGCAATGATGAAAATGATATATAGTATTCATAGTGATTGCAATAATGAAGATTGACGAATAGGGAAGATATTTGAAGTGTTAGCATATATATCTGTTAATGTTTGACGAAAGAGAAGCAGAGAAACCGCGTCTGCTTTATTGTATTTTTCTACGTTCTTCCCCACAGTGCACTCCAATCTGTACCTGTGGACTTACAAAATGGAAAAACGAAAATGACAAAGGAATATTAGGCCTCCGGCCTGGAATTATAACCTTAATTTGTGCTTATTGGGCTTAATCTATCATCATATTGCAAACTACTCCGTATTAAAAAAAAAAACACACGCTTTTTTAATGAAAATTATAATATTTAATAACGTACCGCATGCATGTATGTATGTTTTTAATAATAATAAGATAACAATACAAGATTCATTGATAATATCAATGCATCAATATTAACTTCCTTTTTTTTTTTTTAGGAACAAGTTTTTACCACTAAATTACAATACAACTCTTCAACAACATGGTATACGACCTACCTACATGATATACCAATAGATCCTTAATTAGAGGTCAATAACGTTTTATTTTATTTTATTTATTGTGAAGAAAATGTTAGTTTCTCGACATCTACTTAGAGGGTACAAGGATTCGTTCTTACACATTGAGGTGTTAGACAAATAGCTGTTAGTTGATAGTTGTTAACAGATTGAGTTAGCGGGTTTGGTTAGCTGATAGCATTAGCTGGTTGTAGAAAGATGTTTGGTAAATTAGTTGTTGGCTTATAGTTGATTACATGCAAAGTTATTTTTAAGGTTAATTTATTTTCTCAAAACAATTGACTGGAAAAGCTGTTTTGAACCGTTTTTTGAATAAGCTTTTTAAAGCAATAAGCTCACTGCTGAAAATTATGGAATTTTCGACCACCTGAAAGTGATCTTAAATCAAGTCAAAAGTCTTGTTCCAACCACTTTCGGTATCTGGAAAAACCTTTGTTGCTATTTCCGACCATTTTTTGCTTTCGACTTGATTTAAGATCACTTTCAAGTGGTTGAAAATTTCATAATTTCCAGCAGTGACTGTTACAAAAAGCTAATTAACCAAATACTCATATTGATACCAAGTGGCTTGTGGTTCACTTGTACCCAGTTGATCCCCTAAGTGGGAGGTGATAAGTTTGAACCTCAGTTGAGGGAAGTAGTGTCCTTTAAGTGGGAGGTGATAGGCTCGAACCTCAATTGGAGGAAATAGTGTGTATATAGGGTATCCCCCTTCCTTATAATAGTAATAATAAATACTCATATTAATTGTTTAGTTAAGTCAAACAATTAATAGTTGTCAAACAAGTTAAAATTGACTATTAAATTAAATATATTACCAAAGTATTGTGCAGACAAGATGACTATAAAATGAGTGTCGGTGAAGAGGAGTTTCGTGGCTTTGAGTATTCTTGGATGGGGTGAGACCTATGCTTACAACTAATACTATCAATGTAGTGTGATCATGGTTTTTTTTTTTTTTTTTTAAATGACAAAAGAAACTCACAATCACTATCTGAATGTATATATAAATAAATTTCGCTTTTATATAATACGGAGTAACTCGCAAATCAAACATGAAAAGTAAATCGTATTGAAAAACTCTTTGCAACTGACTTGATTAGTAGGATATTGAGTATTGACAAGAATCGAATTCATGATCTTTAGGTAGGATATTTTTTTTTTTTTGGGTACAAAACAAAATAAAAGGAAAAGTTTGCGAAAGAAGGAAAATACAAATTCTAGAACATAGTATTATTGTTCCTGGTTTGAATGATGGGGAACAATGGCCTTCGACCTAACAAACGAGTACACAATTTATGTAATGATAAAAATAAAGTGCGCATGAGATTAAAATGCTGGTTTTTCACCATCACCCAACCCCACTTACATTCTTCAAATATATATAATACAATTTATTTCTTTCTATCAAAAGTCTTCCATATATAGGATCCATTAGTTTAAGGTGTAAACCATTGCTATCATGTGAACCTGTAGATCAACCCCATGTACCGTTGAGATTTGAGATTAGATGGTCAAGATCTGATGAGTGGTGCAGTGGGTCATCCGGTGCAGTTGATGCAATGATGTATGAATCTCTCTCATCATTTATATATACAACACCACTATAGTATCATTCTAAAAAACTAGACACATTACAGACGTAACAACATTGTTTACTGCCTAATTAATGAAACTACAATATATATAAAATGAAATTGAATAATTAATGAAAGAGGTTAGTTCATACATAGATCATCATGGAATTTACTGCCTACCATTATTATTAATGGAAAAAAACTTCAAACTACTGCCTACCATTATTATATGTGTGTGTGTGTGTGGAAAATAAACAGAGAAGCTAAGGGCAGCCGAAAAACAGAAAATAATAAAATGAAGATTGTAATTGAAAGAAGTGAAGTGATAATAATGGGGCAGTGCAAAAGCCAAAAGGGAGTTCACATGCAAACAGTATACTTAGTTTAATTTGTAGAATTGTAGGTAGAAATGAAATGCATGGATGTTGTGAACGAGATGGATGATATGGGAATCCTCAGCTCAATGATAATAAAGGGCGCGTAAACATAATTGGGGGTGTTAGTACTAATAATAAATTAAAGGGCTCAACTAATGATACAATTCGATCTACTATACATTTATGATATGATGCAGCTAGCTAGCTGCTATGGGGTTTACCACTATAATAAATTAAATTACCAATCATGCATCATTAACTACATGTGACGATCAAAAGGTAAAAAGTAGAAGCTAAGATGAGAGTAAAGTGAATTATACTTTATCTCTTTTAATTTCATATTCTCAGCTTCAGCACGTAGACGTGTGACAAAAAATTGTCCTTACAAGTCCATTAATTATTTTCTTAGTTGGGGCATATGATTCCTTATTTTTGGTAATTGACAGAAGATGGATTTGTCAAGTTTGGTTTAGTAGGTAAATTGGATCCTATGATTCCCATTCATTTTGGTTTTGGAGTCAACCAACACAAATAAGCTACCTATCATAGATATGCTAGGGATGAAATGAAAGGCGACCAACCATTTCCACTGTAATTCACAAACCTCAAATACCAATAATCCATAGCCCACATTGTAAGATACATCACTAATGCGTAAGTTTATTTTTAGTATATTATAAATTTAGAATACATTACTATACTTTACTAAAAAAATGAACACGCAATATACTAAAAATAGGCGTATATCAATGGTCCATATGGCATGGTCTACGGTATAATGTGCCAAGTAACATTATGTCAACTCACTTGATCACTACTACTTCAACATATTGAAAATATTTTTAAAAAATTGTTTTAAAATTCTAAGAAGTGTCATACTTTACATGAAAAATCAAGTTACAGAGCAGTAAAATGAAGCATCCTGGTACAAGCCCATAAGTGAAAACAGAAAGCCTCTTCACTCTTCATCTACATCCTGATTATTTTGTTGATTGTGTTTCTGAGCAGAATACATATCTGCAACCTGAAAAAAAAAAAAAAAAAAAAAAGAAAACCATGTTCAGAGACAGGCACTAATAAAAACTAGCATGCAGCATTTTGGAATAATTCAAGTAATGATTTTTCACCATCTCTGCTGTTGAGGCCTGTTCTGGAGTCTTGTCTTCTCGAATACGAATCAAGCGAGGAAATCGCAGAGAAATTCCCTTTGCAACAACAAATAAATATGAACATTAATTTCAACATTCTTGAAATTAGAACCAAACTCTTCAACTCAGGACGTTAACACTTGTAGGGATAGAGCATAACATGTTAAGACTTAGTAGCCATAATATACATATATATAATATGGAGCTACAGCCTACAGGATATTATGAATAGCATATAATTTGACATGAATGTATAGAGACAAGACATACCTTTTCAGGATCCACAATACCAATGGCAGCGCGGTGCACAGGGCTGATTGTAAGGTCCGCAGCTTTCACCTCCCAAACCTAAAACAATTATAATCAAAATTGTCGAATAATGTTCAACATTGGCAAAGCAACTAGTGATTGAATCAACAACATTAAAAAAAAAAAAAAAACTGGGCAGAGTGGAAGGGACTTCGCAGTACGAATACAGTAAAAAAAAAAAAAAAAACAACCAAGCAATTGGCTTGTTGAGATCTCAGGCAATACAAAACATTTTTGCACAGATAATGGACTATCTTTAATGCAGTTATTGAATCACTTTTTGTACTAAGAATACCTTAAGAATACAAATATGAGCCTTGGGTTTGCTCCTATAGAAGTGCTGAACTCACTAACACAAATTCCATATACATCCAATAGGAAATGACTAAATTCTTGCATTGAATAACAAAATAAATAAATACACAGAACCAGTATTAAACATTTACCCACAACTAGAGAAAGATAATTATTCATACCTCAGTGGGTTCAAACCATACATCTGGATCGAGTGTTTCTGCATACCTGTAATATGACTGCAGATAACAGTGTCACAGAAAAGTCTTGAGCACAAATGTCACAGTACTAATAAAAAAGGAAGACTTGTAGAACTGATTAAAAACATAACACAACCTTTGGCTTGGGGATAACTTTAGAACGATGGCTGGCAGAGCGTTCTTCAAGCATTGTTTCAGAAAAACCAGTGCCTGACAAGCATCACATAAATTTCATTAAACTGAAAAGCAAATGTAATTGAATAATAATTAGTCGCAAGTCTAAATTTTTTATTTCTACTTTTCCTTCCTATAGAAGAAAACAGCTTACCGATTTTACAAATGCTTTGGAATTCCTCATTGTTACTATCATAACAAGCAAGGAGAAAAGCTCCATAAACACCTAAACGAGAAAACATGACAGCGTCAGAAAGGACCTAGATTCTTGATGAATAATAGCTACGATGGGGAAAAACTAATCTGTAATTGTTTACTGATAGTGGAGGATCAGTGAGTCAACACAAGATAGTTTACCAGTACGTTTCCCTCGGCCATGAAAAGCAGCTATTGGTACCAAATCGAGGGAGTCTCCAATACTGCATTTACAAGTATACATTGTAGATTAGGTTAACTATAAGAAGTACATATCTAACTGTATAATGCAGTAGTTCTTTAAAATTACCTTTCCATGTAATCTTTTTTCAATTTTAGCCAGTTATGTGATCGTTTTGAAGGCTCATATGTCGAATCTCCACTCAATGTTTTGATGATCAATCCCTCACAACTGCAATGAAAGAAACAATGATTGACTACATGGAAGTAAACATTATAAGAGCTTGACACCTTAAGACCATTTATGTATTTCAGGAACAATGCAAGTCATATTCCATCAAGTAATGTTTACAAGTAGAACAGGCCAACAGGTAATTTTGTAATAACATAGTGTCATAAACACAATATGTCTAAAAACATTGGTATAAACCTTTCAAGTCCTAGAAAGTCAAAGCTGACACTTCCAGCATTAATGTAGTTTCAGCATTTTCACCTCATACTTTATGCTACTTATATTTTAGTATTTTACTATGCAACCAATAATGTTTTATATGGTAGGCAAATGTGATCAACAGCAAACATACTGTAACATGTATTCTCAATGACCGTATACAAAAACTAAATAGGGGATAATCATATCCAAGAGTGACTGTCACCTGCCATTAACAGCAGCTTCAAGAAATTGTGTTATTTCCTCGAGATCATTTGATGTAGTACTCGTGGCAAATTGAAAATAGCCAGGTTCTTCCTCAAAGGAACTATAGAGATGCTGCATGAAACCATATGTTCAAGGATCAAATGTATACAACCATGTGAATGATAAAAATTATCTGAAACACTGAAGAGCATTTACTATTGGAGCTATCAAAAATCATATGGTACATTTATTAAGCATCCTCAAAGCAAATGTCATCAAATAAAATAAACTGCATGTGTTGGTTGACAAGAAATGAGTCTTGAGGAAAACTTTGACTAACAGTAACATATAAATAGACTAAGTATCAAAATAATGGTTTCAAATCTTATAGATAAGGCTATCAAATCATTGTTGAAGTATGAGATTTTATAAGTCATTAGAAGTCAGAAGTGTAAATAGTACAGTAATGTTTTATAGTGTCAAACATTTTAGTACATTTTAATCTGGACAGAGGGAGTGCTGCCTCTTTCATCTGAGACCATACACGTGCAACTGCTTCCTGTATCTGGTCTGAGATGGAGGAGGCAGTTGCTTCTGTACCATTGGAGACAGGATGCAGCTGCCTCCACCATCCAGATTGGTTGCTTTTGTTTTTACTTTCCTTTTTTTTTTTTTCATTGACCGTGATCAGAGATGATGTTGAAGTTGACAAATTTAGAAAGCTGTTGTTTCACCAGAGAATTTACACAAAAGAAAAAATAATAATTTAAAAAAAAAATTCTAAAGACTTGTTTAAGCAATTGTTCAATTTTTTTTAATCCCCATATCAACAAAAGAAATTACAGGTCAGCAAAATGGGATTTGCATTTTTTTTTTTTTTTTTGAATTTGTGATGGTCAATTTGGAGCTTTTTTTAGTTGCGGTGCTAATTGCATTTTTTGTTGTAGAAGGGCCTATTTGACCCTTATCCCGATTAGAAAAGATAATTCATTCGATTCAAACTGAAACCAATTACACGTGAGTATATCTAGTCTCACCACTAAACACTCCTGACTAATAGACTAGAACTATAAGACTAATTCTAGAACCACACAAATACTAACTATGTTACATGTAATCAAATAATAATAATAATAGTAACACTAATACACCCCCTCAAGCACAAGATTGATGATCCACAATGTTGAGCTTGTCTCGTAGAGCTGTAAACCGGGGTCCAGGAAGTGGTTTGGTGAGAATATCGGCTAGTTGATCCTTGGTGGAGACGAAGTTGACCACGAAATCGCCGAAGGCCACCTTGTCACGAACAAAGTGGTAATCTATCTCAACGTGCTTTGTCCGAGCGTGGAACACAGGATTAGCACACAGGTATGTAGCACCAAGATTATCACACCATAAGTGGGAGGGGTGCCCAGTGTGTAACCCAAGTTCCTGTAACAGAGATACCATCCAGGTGACTTTAGCAGCAACGTCAGCTAGGGCTTTATACTCCGCCTCAGTGGAAGAGCGAGCTACGGTGCGCTGTTTCCGGGAGAGCCAGGAAACAAGATTACTTCCGAGAAAGACGGCATAGCCACTGGTGCTTTTCCTGTCGACCGGACACCCAGCCCAGTCAGAGTCGGAGTAGGCGTGGATGTCACTGGAAGCGGAAGGAGAGAATCGAAGCCCGTAATGAAGAGTGCCTTTGATATATCGTAAGACACGTTTCACCATTGCCCAGTGGTCGTCAGTAGGAGAGTGCATGAACTGACATAGGCGGTTGACAGCATATGCGAGATCCGGTCGAGTGATAGTCAAGTACTGCAGGGCGCCAACAATCCGCTGATACTGAGTAGGGTTTTCAAAAGGCTGCTCGGATGGTGTGACGGCTTGAGTAATAGATGCCGGGGTAGTAAGTGGTTTGCAATCCGTCATCCCAGAACGATGAAGTAAATCCACCATGTACCTATGCTGTGACAAAATCATCCCGCCACTAGTCGAGACTGTCTCGATGCCCAAGAAGAACCCAGGTGTGCCAAGGTCCCTAATCTTGAATGCCGATGCAAGACGCCGTAGTAAGAACTCAACTAAAGCGGCGTCACTTCCCATCATGATGATGTCATCCACATAGATGAGTAAAAAGACTTTAGATGCACCCGCCGAGTGGTAGAATAATGAGACATCAGTCTTGGATGACGCGAAACCTGCAGTTAGCAAAAAATCGTGTAGTCTCTTGAACCAGGCTCTTGGGGCTTGTTTGAGCCCATATAGAGACCGCTGCAAAAGACAGACGTGATCGGGATGTGTTGGATCTTCATATCCGGGAGGTTGTTTCATGTATACCGTCTCGGCTAAATGGCCATTCAGGAAGGCGTTGTGGACGTCCAGCTGACGCAGAGTCCAATTTTTCGAGACAGCTAACGAAAACAAGATGCGGACAGTCGTGGGTTTGACAACCAGACTGAACGTATCAAAGAAGTCCTCCCCTGCGACTTGATTGAAGCCTTTGGCTACTAACCGAGCTTTATAGCGTTCAATCGAGCCATCGGCAGTCCGTTTCGTACGGAAGACCCATTTGCACCCAATGATGTTCATGGTTGGGTCTGGGGGAACTAATCGCCAAGTGTTGTTGTGAAGAAGAGCATTGAACTCTTGATCCATTGCGTCACGCCACTGTGGATGACCTACAGCTTGGGAGTAGCATGTTGGATCAGTTGTTGCAGTTAGAGCATGAAACTCTTCATTATTACCCCGAGTCATACGCCGAAGGCGCATAGCCAGAGGTTGGACAGTGGTCCGTTTCCGGCCCCGTCGTGGTGCACTTGGCTCAATAGCCAACAAAGGTGCTTCTTGGGCCAGTGGGACCGGTTCAGGGTCCGGAGTTGGCATAAGTTGACAAGATTGCACCGGTGATACGGGTGCGGATGCCCAAGGTAGAGACACAGGTGTAGATTCCTGAGCCTGCACAGAACCTGTTGCAAAGGGAAACACATTCTCGTCAAACCGCACATGGCGACAGATATAGGTTTTCCCACTGATTGGATCCATGCATCTATATCCCCTATAGGACGGTGGATAACCTAAGAAGACACACGGAGTGGAACGATACTCCATCTTGTGCCGATTATACGGCCGTAGATGAGGGTAACATTGGCACCCGAAGACACGAAGAAATTGGTAAGGGGGTGATTTTTTGTAGAGGCGATAGTATGGACTTTCAAACTTTAAGACTGAGGTGGGAAGGTAGTTAATTAAACAGGTGGCAGTCTCAAAAGCGTAGTCCCAATATTCTTGCGGGACAGAGCTTTGAGCAAGAAGAGCTAACCCCGTTTCGACAATGTGTCTGTTACGGCGTTCAACTTTTCCGTTTTGTTCATGCGTATATGCGCAAGACACTGCCGATGTTCAATTCCCAAGGATTCAAAGGTTGTGTGTAATTTTCTGTATTCACCCCCTAAATCTGATTGGATTGACTTGATAGAGCGCGAGAACTGCCGCTCTACCAACAAACGAAACGAGTCAAAACTTTTATAGATATCTGATTTTACCCGTAATGGATAAAACCAGGTAAATCGTGTGAAGTCATCAACAAACAATAAAAAATAGCGATAGCCACTATTTGACACTACAGGAGCTGGGCCCCAGATATCAGTAAATAATAGATCTAATACATTTTGACTATTATTTTGAATGCTATCTAACTTGAAACGGGAAGACTTGCCGAGATGGCAAGCCGTGCACGACCCCAACTCTTTGGAATTATTGGCTTGAACAGGACAACTTTGTAGAATTTTGTTTTGGACCACACTATGCGGGTGACCAAGCCTACGATGCCACACGGCCAGCGTAGCACGGGAACTCACAAACGCAAAGTGGGAACGAGATACGGGCAATTTGTATAAACCGCCCGCGGTTGGACCTTTAAGCAGCGTGACCCTGGTTTTGGAATCCTTCACAAAGAAACAATTTTCATGAAATTCAAAATATACATGATTGTCATTTGCAAATTTTTGGACAGAAAGTAACGGGACTGTTAAATTAGGGACGTGCAACACATTTGACATGATTAAGTGTTTTGACTCAGATGGAATAGACGCATGACCAATCTGCGAGATTGCCAAACCTGTACCGTTTCCAACCCGGAGCGTGTCCGGGCCAACATATTCCTCCGCGTGACTCAGCATGCCGGCGTCCGGCGTGGCGTGAGCGGTGGCTCCGGTGTCCGGGTACCACGACTCCGCCGGGGTAGTGATGTTGCCGGCCGGATCACCCGAGACCGCCACATTGGCCTGCGCCGGTGGTGGTGGTGGTGCGGAATACCGCTTGTAGCAGTAGAGGGCCGTGTGGCCGTGAGAACGGCATATTTGGCATCAGGGGCCTCCTCTACCACCGCGACCGTTTCTGCCGGAGTGACTGCCACGGCCATCTCTCCCTGATCTGCCGGAATTGTTGCTGCCACGACCACCATCCGCATGCGAACCTGCTGCACATCCCCGGCCTGCATACATCGCCGAATGAGAGCCGCCATCAGCAGGAGCGAAGTCGTCCGCCAAAAAGAAATCCGCCGCCTGCAGATGATCCGCCATTTGCGGTAAGGTGAGCGGAGTGGTCGCCGTGAGCGACGCGGCGTAGCTTCTATATTCCGAACGGAGACCTCTCAGGACATACAAATTCTGCTCGCCGAGTGACAGTGGTTGGCCGGCCTGCGCAAGAGCCTCGACAAGAAGCTCCGCACGCCCAAGAAATTCTGTCGGGGAAGAACTGCCTTGCCGCATGGTCTGGAATTGATTGAGAAGGCTGAGACACCTGGCTTGGGTGTTCGAACCAAGGGCCGAGCAGATGGAGCGCCACACCTCCGCGGAAGTATTCCGGCCTACAGCGAGATGGAGAACCTCATCAGACATCGCCGAGATGAGGAGGGAAAGGATCGATTGATCCTGTTGAGTCCATATTTTGTGCGCCGGATTGGGAACCGGATCGGCGGAGGAGGCGGAGGAGCCCGACTCGCCGGACGGCGTGGCTGCAATGGTCAGCGGCGGGCACGGGGTGGAACCGTCTACGTACCCGAGGAGATCCTGGCCGCGAAGGAACGGGAGAAGCTGCGTTCTCCAGAAGAGAAAATTTCTACTGGTTAACTTCATCGAGATGAAGTGGTGTGCGCCATTGAGAGGGCTGTTGCCGGAGGAGGGAGGTGCACCGCCGGCGGAGGATGGCCTGTCGGAGGACCGAGACGACATTGTTGCCGGAAAACAAATCGGTACGGGAAAAGGGGTTTGTTTGCGATAGGGAAGCGATCAGTACGATCGTTTAGGCTGATACCAGATTAGAAAAGATAATTCATTCGATTCAAACTGAAACCAATTACACGTGAGTATATCTAGTCTCACCACTAAACACTCCTGACTAATAGACTAGAACTATAAGACTAATTCTAGAACCACACAAATACTAACTATGTTACATGTAATCAAATAATAATAATAATAGTAACACTAATAATCCCAAGAAGAAATATATAAAAAATATTTGGTGTCACTCAGGGTTATCAAGGCGCCGCCTAGGCGTCTGGGCGGTCACAGCCTTCCGCCTAGTCTGCTCGCCTCGCCTAAGTGCAAAATACAACCCAAAACCCCACAAAACATACATGGGCAGAACCTACACACTAAGGCGAGTTGACCGGTGTAAATTTCAGCCGGGGAAGACGCCGGAATCTGCCTCACGCGCCGGCGCGTGGCGTCGGAGCAGCGGCACGGCGGCGGCGCGTGGAGGCTCCGATGGCGGCGCGGTTCGAGCTCCGGCGTCGTCCTCCTGTTCCGAGCAAAGCCCACTACCTCACCCTGACATGTTATCAATAAATACTAGACTTCTCACTAGTCTAGGAAAAACTATTCATCTTCTCAAAGATGACTTGAAGTAAATAGGGTTTAAAAAGGCTTCCCAAGACAAGATATTTCCAATATATACAATAAATACTAAACTTCTCATTTTTCTAGGAAAAACTATTCATCTACTACAGGCAACTTGAAGTAAATAGGCTGAAAAGACAAGATATTTTCAATATATATGTATATATTTTATATATTTTATTTATTTAATACTCATCGCCTAGTCGACTAGTCGACTAGGCAGTCGCCTAGTCGACTAGTCGACTAGGCAGTTGGTGGCATCTCGCCTAGAAAGTCCGCCTTGATAAAAAGACAAAATCATTTCATGGTTCAACAGACAAGCAAAAAGTGGCTGTAACAAAAAGTATTACAACCCTAGGCTCTTATGTAAAAGTGTAAAACACAGGAGACAACTCAGCATATTGTAACAACTATTGCAGTGTTACTCTTTTTATAGTCAAGTTCTGAATAACATAGATGGAGTGATTGTATCTTAGACCAAAAGCACACATCATTTCCAAACAGAAATGGTCATAAGAGAAACAAGTAGGCCAATAAAATGTGCATCTATGGTTCAAATCCTAAACCATAAAGAAAGAGTTATTGTACCTCTCTACGAACATTGAGCTGCTCTTGAATAAGTGGTTGTCCATTAAGATACAAGATATCAAAGGCATAGATGCAAACATTCACCTTGATGTCACTCACAACAACATTTTTACGAGCACGTGTACTGAGGACCTGACATAAACATGTAATCATAAGCACATGACTGCATAAAATCATTATGGCACAAAGATGGATATGAAAGGAGCATATTATTATATATTTGTGAACGCATACCTAAAAATAAAGGATCAAGATGAAGCCAACCAGCTCTATCAAGAATGAAGTAACAGTATTGAAAGAGTGATGCAAGCAAGTTTTTTGTGGCAAGAAAAGAATCAAACCCTTTATACAAAAGAAAAACCACAAATAATAAAAACCCAAAAGTATCAAACATGCACATCAACTGAACCATCTTTCCCTTGACTGAAACTTCAAATTAACTATAACAGAATTGTGGATACAGGCAGAACAATAGAATGATGACAAGGCAAAAGAAGCATTCCTAAAGAAAGGTCTCAAAGGCTAAGTGATAAAATACTCATCAGATTAAAAATACAGAACAACTAAAAGACTTATTTCACACTTGATATGCTTTCCCTTCCCAGCTAAGGTAGTCATGGAAGCAGCAGTGAACTACTGCCATGCAGAGGTTTGAGCCAATAAAACGTATATACATGTGGAAAAGAATGAATTACTAGATAATATATTTACCTGAAAAGGCAGGATTTTCTGTTTCTCACGATCATATGCAACTAATTCGCAGTCAAGAACAAAAGAAGTTATAGAAGGTTTTTTTAATCTGCAATCAGAGAGCACATATTATGCAGTCAAAAGCAAAACTATAGGGAGTAGAAAGCCAATAACCATAATCTACAAACAAAGATTGACAAAAAGGCTTGATACCTGGAAAACTAGACTTTTGATTCTCAGATCAGCTTTTACAATGTAATAGAAAAGGAAAAGAGTTTTGTTGAAGATTATATGGCGATTCAGTGAACGGAAGAACAAGCATAGTCCACAATTTAATTTTTTTAATTATGATAAAGGCAAATGAATTGGTATTTAAGAAGATACAAATTATGAAAATAGTCATTTCCTAGTCAGTCACCAAAGGAACCTTTTAGAGACTAGTTTCAGTTGTCCAGAAATTCGTATGAAAAGTTGCTCCACAATGAAATGCATATCTGAATGGTGTTTATTATTATGGTGCACTTTTAATTGGCAATCTTTGCTGGTTGCCTCAGTATGCCAAGACACACAAGTACATACCAAAAGCTTAAGGCTTCAAATTTGAATGCGAGTAAAATTGAATACAAGCAGGTATACTAAGCATACCTAGAAATAGCAGCAACAACATCAGGAAACTTTCCAGTATTACGTTCTGCATTTCTGCTGTATATCTCCACTGACCCATTTTCCATGTAATGAATCTGCAGTTTTTCGGAATTAACATTTTTCAGACATAGCACTATGTAAGGAAATTCCAAAGAAACTCTGCATAAAACATTGAGCTGACATAATATAACTCTTTTAACACAAAGGATCTGCAGCTAAATTTACTTAGTATTTGTTTGTTAAGTGGATTTGCAGCCATATATCAGAAAAAAATCTGAACTCAGTTATCAAATCATGGGGCACAACACAAACTTAGAGAGAGATGTACATTGTATATAATGTACCAATGAGTGGAAAATCATCATAGTCTATCAATTCTAAGGAGATTCGGGAGGGGATTCATGTGACACAGTAAAGGGAATAGAGCATGTGTCCATATTTATATCAAAATAAGGCAGTAGATTTGGTCAGGGTGGGACCATGAAAATAAATTTTAATCAGAAATAATCCCACCAATCATCCCTGGTGCATATGTTAGAATTCACTGGTTTGAGTCTTTTTGATTTGGTGAATTGGTGTAAAGGGGACAGTGGTAGTGGTACAACAGAGGAACTAACAGATTTCCCAAGTACAAGACAGAGTTGATCTTATGTAAAGCCCTTTGTATTCACCTTCTTGGCACTTCTTTTGTGAATAAATTTATTTTACTTGTATTAGAAAAAAAAAAAAAAAAAAGTCAATTACCCACAATAAATGAGAAGCATGAAATCATGAACTTTTGAGGTTGCAGAGTTAAGCAATTGTGGGAGAGCGGAGAGAAGCATAAAAGCAGCAGGAACAGCAAATTCATTCTGGGCTTCTGGCATATCATTGGACTAATTTTTATTTCTTTTTAATTTGCTTTTTTCACCGAGAAAAACCAATGTAGCTTTCCAGCAGGGCAATTTTGTAGAGCAAAGCAATCCAATAATTTTTCCTTGATCCTTTACATACACACCTTTTAAATGGTGAAATGACTTGGCAATTGGCACAATAGTGACTAAAAATAAAAGCTACTATTAATACCTGAGCGCGCTCACCATCATACTTGTATTCACAAGTGAACTCCTTATCTTGAAACTTGTCAACAATTTCAGATACTCCTTTAGTTGCCTTAGCTAGCATAGGTCCAACTGGAACACCAGGCGAGAAAGAGCATGTCTTTTGAAGGTTACAGACACCACCAGAAAGAAGAGCAGGAACAATTTTATCATATACAGGAATCACAGAGTAAACTTGTTTTACAATCTTCTCAGCCTGGAAACAGATGAGTAAAATCAAATTAGTAATAGATGAGATAGAATTGAAAAATGAAACAAGCTCAATTAAGTCTCAAGACACTTTCTAGGTCGCATACATCAATCTATGTTGTATCATCACTATATAGGGTCCATATACTGTTTAAGACACAACCAACCTAACCTTAGAAAATCATCGTCACAATTTTCTGGTGGTATCCATCATTATGTGTCTACGTTTCTTCTATAGGGTGTTGTTCAAGTGTTCACTATTAAAACACTAGTTAGGATATCTTGTTTTATCATCCCTTCTATCCTTTTTAGCTACACTTAATCTATTAACATGAACGTTCAGTTTCAAGGAATGGACTGGATGTAATTCTAAAAGCAATCACAATATTAAAACTGTGGTGGTGGTGGTGGTGTGGGGGAACAGGGACCTTCTAGCCAGAATGAGACCACACTTGCAAACCTCTTCTATAGATGAATTCACACTTGCAGGGGGTGAAGAATGCTTCTCTGAGTATACTGTAGCATGGCTCAGTGCCACTAAAAGAGTTTGTTCTGCCAAACCGATGCGTAACTTTGTCTGCACAGAGAAATCAATTGGGAGTAAGAAGATCACTCACAGAAGTAGATAGGAAGCAACTCCAAAGCACGGTATCCTAACCTGTAGTAGTCGGATCAAATACTGAGGTTCACAATCAGTAGCTGCAACTAGTAGAGACTTGATGTAATTCTTTTTCTTTTCTTGACTATCCTTGCCAGATTCCTATCATCATTCATGAACAAGTTAAGGCACCTTTGTAAAAGAACTACAACCAAGTTGACTTCATTGCAATATATCTAAAGGGGGTCCTAGGCTTACCACTGTGATGAAAAAACAACAATTGTAAGTGAACAGATAGATTTCCATAAAATTTTAAAATAAAAAGTACTTGGTAATGAATTTGTGCTAGTGTTTTTATTATTAACATCAATTTGAAAGTCAGACTTCCACAGACATCCCCTTAACTCCTTAAGATGGATACAATATTAAATTAAGATGAAACAACACTATACAGGTAAAAGGGTCTTACCAATTCAAATAAATAAATAGAAAACGAAATATGAATAAATTACCTTAGCTATAAGCCGAAATGTACTAAAAACTTTGGCAACAGTTAATGGTTCTGGTTTACGCATCAAAGACTGAGATGATCGACTTGCTTTTGCAACAAGGCCTAAATCACCAAGATCCTAACATTTGGAACAATGAAAAATAAGGTTTTAAAAAACAGTTCGGGAAAGAAACAGTTCACCTAAAATAAATAAAAAGCCGCACAGATACTAGAATTCACAAGTGATGAAACTAAAATATATAAACAGAAAAACAACAGAGTAGATAGCACATTACAATTTATCAAACGAAATAATGAACTTAGAATATTCTTTTTGATGTATTTTAATGAAAGAGTGTGCTTTATAGTTATAAAAAAAAAAAAAAAAAAAAAAAAAAAAAAAAAAAAAAAAAACAATTTACTTTCTCTACCTTATATTGCTTCTTAATGTGTGCTTCTTTAGCCCCACAAGCCTCGGCAAGGGCCTTAATAATTGATGCATCTCCAATTCCAAGTTCCAATCCCTCATGGGCAGGTGCAATTTTGTTTGCAGAAAGGTACACCGCCGGCAACAAGTCGTCAGGGGTGGTGTGAATCACGGTCCTTAACATATTGGCCACAATGTCAGTGATGGCAATCCGCCCAGACTCCTCTTCAATTGCACCAAACGCCTTCGCCACAAACATGAACGGCACTCTCTCCCCATCTCCCCAATACGCAGCCTTTTTCGGATCAAAATTCGCCCCCTTCTTCTTCAGCTCCGCAACGCTCTCATCAGGACTTATCAACTTCGGTTTCTTAGCTGCCACTTCCTCCCCGCCATTCCTCGCCCCATCTACATTTTCAATCGCCTTCACATTGGAATTGGCATTTTCCGCAATAGCTGCTGAAACAGAGCTAGACTTCTGCTCCGGAGTGTCTTTTTCGGCGCTCTTGCGTTTCTTGGGCGAAGGCTCTTGGGCCGGAGGTGTCTGGGTCTTGGATTTCTTCTTGGAATTGGCCATGAGGACGTCGAACGCTGAGCGAGGAGTGGACATTGGTCTGAGATTAGGGTTTGCGGAGAAGATTAGGGGTTTAGGAAAGAAGGGTTTAGCGCAGAGGAGAAATGGAATTGAATTGGGTGTAAGGTGAGAATGGAGGCGAGTGAAGAAGATGAAGGTGTTGGGCAAGTAGCAGGAGCAAGAACGGAGTGATAACATCAACGGCGGGGGTGCGATTGCGGGGAGGGAATGACACACAAATGGCGGGAACCAAAACCAGGGACCAACATAATAATATTGCCAATATAGAATAGAATATATCTGTATATAATAAAATAATTATTAGCCAATATAGAAACTTAAATTTTACTTCAGGTGAAGTGACAAGTGAGTATAATAATTTAAAGAGTTAATTACCGAAATGGTCCCTTGACTTAACGAAATTATTAATTTGGTCCTTGATTATTTTTTTTGACCAATTAAGTCCCTCAACTTTAAAAATCTTAATCAATTTGGTCCTCCGTTTGTTTGACCGTTAGTCAACTGTTAACTTGGGACCAAATTGATAATTTTACTATAGTCAAGGGACCATTTTGGTAATTAACTTTAGGGGTGGACAATTCGGTTTAGTTTTCTCGAACCGAACCAAACTAATATACCGAACAATCGAACGGTATTGGATTCTTGTATACCGAACGGTTCGATAAAAAACTGATTCGAATTGTTCGGTAAAAAATTGAACTGAACCGAATACCGTTTCATTTTTTTATATATAAATACAATAATAATAATAATAATAATAATAATAAATAAATAAATAAAAAGTAAATCCAGGTCCCTTGCTGCTTGCTCTATCGTTCAGCTCATATTCTCACGGGTATCTCTCGTAAATGTTTTATTTGATTTCTTTATGGTTTGTTATCAAAAGTTCTATATTATGTGTTATGGTGTTTATATAGTCTATATCTAAAGTCTAATATATAACAAAATAACAATCCAAAGTTCAAACGGTATTCGGTTCGATTCGGTTTTTACCGAACAATTTAGTTCGGTTCGAGTTTTTACCGAACCGTTCGGTATACAAGAATCTATTACCGTCCAGTTATTCGGTATATTACCGAATCTAACTAGTTTGGTACAGTTCGGTTCGAGAAAACTGAATCGAATTGCCCACCCTTAAAGTTAATTACCAAAATGGTCCCTTGACTATAGCGAATTATCAATTTGGTCCCAAGTTAACGGTTGACTAACGGTCAAACAAACGGAGGACCAAATTGATTAAGATTTTTAAAGTTGAGTGACTTAATTAGTCAAAAAAAATAGTCAATGACCAAATTAGTAATTTCGCTATAGTCAATGGACCATTTCGGTAATTAACTCTAATCTAAATATCTACTATACTAATAAGAGCCCAAAAGAGTTAGGCCTATAATTGGTAGAAAAAATGGGCGGTCAAATTTTTTAATCAAATGAATGGCTCAGATTGATCAGATTTTAATTTTTCCATAAGATTTCCTAATATATCCTTAATGAATATGATTTGTCGTTAACTTTTCCGTTAAATATTATCTTTTCCGTTAATTTCTGTTAGTTCACAGTTAACTTACTCATTGATTTCAATAAGAAAGGTTTTAGGTTCGAACCTCATCTCAATCAAATTTGACATAATTAGTACTCTATTTTACTCTTATTAAATTACTAGTTTTTTTTTTACGCACTTTGTGCGAATGAGATAATGCCCAATATTATTTTTAAATAAGTATTTCAAAGTATATCAATGCAATATTATATACGAGATTTTCATGCATATGTAAATAAATGTTGAATTTGTTTATTTAAATCGGTAATTTAAAGTATATAAATGCAAGATAATATATGAGAGATTGATTATAATTGTCACTAAAATAAATGTTTGCAACTTTGTAATAACGCTAGTCTAAATATTTAGTTTTAAAGTGATAGTCTAAATAAATACTACTTTTGATTTAAATTTCTCTAATTCTTCTTAATTCTTTTTTTGGGTAGCATTGTTATTGTTTTCATCTTCAGTACATGTCCTCTTTTTTTTTTTCTTTTTTCTTTTTTGTTTTTTTATTGGTAGTGTTTCATGTGCAATTAGGTTACTGGTAGTAGCATAGAGAGATTCATCATGCAATGAGATTATGGTATAGGAAGTTTTAGATTTACTTTGCTGTGTATATGACTGAGATTTTAGTTGTAATATGAACTCTTTAGCGTACAAACACCTATTGATATTTAGTAGTGGTAGTTTTTTTCCTACATGTTTCATATGTTGTGAGATGTGTGTCACAGGTTATCATGTGAAAGTATTGAACGAAATATTAATATTTATTATATTTGTATAAAATACTTGGTAAATAAATAAATAAATAAATAAATAAATATATATATATATATATATATATATATATATATATATATATATATATATATATATATATATATATATATATATATATAACATGTTTTGTATTATAAATTTGATATTTAATTACAAGATAATGTAAAAAAGAAGACAATGAACAATGTAGTGAATATAATAAATTAATAAATTTGAAGGTAATGAATCTTTGAATTGTAGAAAATAAAGATAATATAACTAATGAAATTATATTTCTTTTAAATTTTTTCATAATGAATAATTTTTTTTTTAAAATAAAGCATTATAGACATCTAATTCTAAATTAATTAAATGCATATGTATTCTTTTTTGTTGTAGCTACTAATTTATTTAATTAATAAGAGTAATAAAGTGTTGTACATACTTTTCTTCAACAATAATGAAATCAATGATTTTTTTTTTTTAAATTTCCATTCATTGTTGAGACAAATTGTTTTGTGAGTTTGTCCATAACAATTGCTACAATTGCTGTTAATAGAGGATGATAATAAATAGTTCAAAATATATGATTACAATAGATATTAATATAATGATATAGTAAAAATTAACTTACAAATTTTTTTAGAAGTTTTCATGCATTGATAAAATTTTGATGTGTAAACTTGTTCAATTGGAGCTAGTAAGATGTTAACATTGTCAATTATTTGAAAAATGATCCTACCGTTTTAGAGTCCATGTGTAATTGTATTTATGATCAACAACTTTGTAGTTAGGCCGCGCAGGTCTGACAATGATGTAAGAACATTGTCCGATAAAAAAATAATAGTATAATATTAGTAATGTAATGTACAATTGTACCATTATTATAAAAAAATACAAAAAAAAAAATATTAATACCATAATGGCCTAAATCATTCCAATAATGCAAAAGCATAATTGAAATATTAAGTTTTGTTCTAAATAATCAGAAGAAGATTAATTTTTAAAAAAAAAACAACATAAATTTTTTTTTAATAAAAAAATTCAAGAAAATCAAATAATTTTAAAGTAGTTCCTGATTTATAATATTTGATGCTCAACTTTGAATGTTATGTATTTAGTCGAGCTAATTATTTGACTAAAGTTTATGTTAAATTTTATATTATATATTTTTTAATACATTTTAACATATTCATAATATATGTTTAACAATTATGTCAATTATACTTGGGATGAGGTTCGAACCTAAGACCTTATATAAATTAAGAGTATGTTAAGAATAATAAATAGTTAACGGAATATATGTTTAACAATTATGTCAATTATACTTGGGATGGAGTTCGAACCTAAGACCTTATATAAATTAAGAGTATGTTAAGAATAATAAATAGTTAACGTAATATTCCGTTACTAAAGTTTAAACTAACGGAATTTAGGGTTATTTAAGGGAAGAAAATAATATAATAGAGGGTAAATAAGGAAAATCATTAAAAGATACTAAAATCAAAATAATATGAACCATTCATTTTAAGAAACAATTAGTACCGACATTTTTTTGTTCCAGTTAAGGGCCTAACATTATTCGCTCTTATTAGATTTGTAGATGTAGATTATAATAATTTAGTAGCTACAACAAAAAATAATACATATGCATTTCTTTAATTTAGAATCATGTGCCTACAATGTCTTTATTAAAAAAAATTATTCATTCGCAATAAATTAAAAAAGAGAAATAACTTCATTAGTTATATTGTATTTATTTTTCTCCAATATAAAAATTTGTTAAATTCAAATTCATCAATTGATTATATTCGCTATACTTTCCCTACAATGTCTTTATTAAAAAAAAAAAAATATTATTCATTATCAATAAATTAATTAAGAGAAATAATTTTATTAGTTATATTGTCTTTATTTCTCTCCAATGTAAAAATTCTTTACATTCAAATTCATCAATTGTCTATTATATTTTTTGTGCAATATTTGTTGATTAAATATCAAAGTTATAATACAAAATAATGCTATATATTTATTTACCAAGTATTTTATTAATACCACGAAAAACTTTAAAAAAATATAATTAATAAAGCCAAAGTATTCAAATCACACAACAAATTGAAGTGAGAACTACCTCGCAATGTCCTTGTTTGACAATTAGCGGTTAGCGGATATGACCATCGAATTATATCAACGATTGGTTAAAAGATATTTGAAAAAAGTATGTAGTTGTTTATATTAACATGTAAAATAACCTAAGGGTATAATAATAATAATAATAATAATAATAATAATAATAATAATAATAATAATAATAATAATAATAATAATAATAATAATAATAATAATTGTTTTAAAAAATAAAAAAAAGGAAAAAAATATAATTAAGTCAATCATATTAACTAATTGGGGGATCTATTGATAAAAAATAGTATTCAAATCACACAGCAAATTGAAGTGTGAAACTACCTCACAATGTCCTTGTTTGGCACTCAGCAGTTAGTTCTTCAATATTAGTATATATTTAATATTTTATGCCCTAATTTTTATTTGCTCTCCCTTATATCCTGTATTTGGTTTTAACCATACTTATACAATTATTTTATTGACAATTATAATCCATCTTAATTGACTATATTATCTTGCATTTGTAAACTTAGAATTACCTTTTTAAATACGCAAATTCAACATTCAATTAGTTATGCATGAACAATTTCAATATAATCTTGCTTTTGATATACTTTAGAGTACTTATTTAAAAAAAATATTGGGCATTATCTCAATCGCGCAATGCGCGTAAAAAACTAGTAAAATATAATAACTTTCAATTTATGTTATATCTTTGATTTATGCCTGTTTTTTTAAATTCTTAATATATTATGCTATAAAAGTTGTACCATATGATTTTTTAGACAAAAATTTTATTACTTTTATAACGTCTTTATATATT